TTTGCCTCTTGGAGCTCTGTTGGGAGTGCTCTTGGAGGCATCTTGGGGCGTCTTGGAGGCCTCTTGGGTCGTCTGGAGGCCATCTGTAGAGTCTTGGACCGATCGTTCGGCGACTCGGGGCCATCATGGACCGTTTGAAAGTCCTTTTGCAGCCCTTTTGGCCCGTCTTGAGGCCCTCTTGGGGCACTCTGGAGCCGTCTGGGGCCCTCCTGGGGCGCCCGCGAATCAGCCCCTCCCCGCCGTGCCCGAACTCAAACCGTATCCGTTTTCTAATAATGTATGTATCATCGTAATAGTGCAGCTCTCTCTCTCTCTCTCTCTCTCTATTTTCTCCTTCTCTCTCTATATATGTTTCAAATCTGTATGCACATAAGGTAGTTTGCATGGCTATACAAACATGTAGAGATACACATCTCGCACAATTGGTCTAGTGCCCATGTTCTATACTTGTTCGTCTTGGCTGGGCCCGCTAGCGTTGCCACCTGTTGCAGATGCAGATATGCTGGGGACGTTCCTGAATGAGCCTCATGCTCGTATTGCTCGTGGATTGCATGATTGTCGCGATCAGAAAGCATTTGTATGGTGGGTTGTTTCTGTACGTGCGCACATGTACACGTGTATGCATTTGTGTTTACGCGTGTTCAAAGTCGTACACATGTCTGCAGTTATCCCATATATATATAGATATACACGCATGGTTGCCAGCGTGGGCCCCGAACAGTGCGATGTTGCACTGTGTGTAAGCTTTGCATTTTCAAATATTAGGTGCGATCTATGTGGTGTGAGCCGTGAGGTTTAAGCCATGTGGCGCCCTATATCTGGTGCAAGCAAGTAATTCTGAAACTACAGGAGTTGTCAACTCCATTGCTCGCGCAATCATCCCGCCCACTCACCCGCAACTTGGCTTGCAACACCCATGCGGCGGCGATTTCGATGAGTGCTTGATGCTTGCTGGTGCTTCTTTGCGGCCGCGCTGGCCCGACCATGTTCGTGCGCACAGCGGCCAGCTAGTTTGGCGCGACCGACGTGGCCGCGGTGACGCTGACCGCTGGGCACGTCCCAGCGAGTCTCTCAAGCCGCGCTGACGCGAGGGCACTTCAGTGCGAATCGGTGACTTGGGCGGGTATCATGGCGGCGCCGACAGCGGTAGGCACGGTGATAGTATTAGCAATGGGTGTGACGATGATGGCGATGGCGACGGCGAGGCCAATAACGGCGCTGATGCTGATCACGCCGGTGACGATGATGGTGTCTTCGCGTCAGTGACGAAGGTTTTAGACGGATTTCGACATGCGCTTGCGGTCGTCGCGCGCGAGTGGTCCGCATTTTGTTTCTTTTGATCGGAGTCGCACTCGCGCATGGGCATTCTCGAATGATTTCGCCACGCGCGCGCGAGAGACAATGTGGTTGAATTCGAGGTAGATGGTGAACAAACGGTGGTTTCCCCAAAGAATTTGCAAGATCGCGCGCGCAGGTTTTTTATGCCAGAACTCATGCTGCAAAACCATATTTTTTCCAGCCATCCTGTGGTGTGGGGTCTTCGTTTTGAACAAAAAACATCGCCCCACGTCTCCCTTTCCTCTCTTTTCCATGAACAGATCCACCGAAAGTGGTACTCACATCGACGATACTCACAACTGCATATGGTTGGACACTTCGCCCGGATAATTGTATATGTTTGGGGGCAGTCGGTTTCGAAATCGTTACGTTTGGTGAATGGATGTTTTCGGATACACGAGTGTGCGCGCATCGTTTTTTTCCAGTTTGGGTAATTTACGAATAGTGGGACGGCAACAACTGATAAACTCCGTGGGGTGGTAGGTCCTGCTGTCTTTTCAGAAACCAGTATTGATGTCGTGTGACATATGCGGTGAACTCATGTGGTGCAATTTATGTGGTATAAGCTACATGGTAGTAGCCATGTTGTACAATGGTTGTGGTGCCTTCTATGTGGTGTGCGCTATGTGTTGGAAACTATGTGATGCAATTTTTGTTTTTTGGTCATGAACTGTGAGCTATGATGTATACATGGTGTAAATCGTTGTATTTGATGGGAGTTACAACGTGTCAGCAATGTGATCAAATCTATGTGTTGCGAACTATGTCGTGTATACACACTGCGCCCACGAGGCAGCCACGGGCGGCAACGTGGCGAAACTTCGCCGGACCCACCCACCGCACGAAGCGGCCACGAGGCGGCCACGGTCGGCAACGTGGCGAAACCTTGCCAGACCCACCTAGCGCACGAGTCCGCCACGAGGCGGTTACGGGCGAAAGCGCGGCGAAACCTTGTCGGACCCACCCAGCGCACGAGCTGGCCACAAGGTGGCCACGAAGCGGCCACGAGGCTGCTACTTGTGGCAAAGTGGCGAAACCTTGGCAGACCCGCCCATCGCACGAGGCGGCCACGTGGCGGCCCCGCGCGAAAACACGGCGAAACCTTGCCAGACCAACGCAGCGCACGAGGCGGCCAGGAGGCGACCATGAGGCTGCCACGGGCGGCAACGTGGCGAACCCCCGCCCGAACCACCCAGCGCACGGCGGCCACGAAGCGGCAACGTGCGGCAACGCTGCGAAACCCGCTGGACTCGCCCAGCGCACGAGGTTGCCAGGAGGCGTCCACGGGCGGCAACATGGCGAAGCCTCGTCGGACCACTAAGCGCACGAGGTTGCTACCAGGCTGCCGCTGGCGGAGCAACGTGGCGAAGGCTCGCTGGATCCACCCAGCGCGCGAGGCGGCCACGAAACGGCCACGTGTGGCAACGTGGCGAAACTTCGCTGGAGCCATCCAGAGCAAGAGGCGGCCACGAGGCGGTCACGGGCGGCAACGTGGAATATCCTTGTCATCTCATCCAATTCCTAAGCGACGTACGTAAGGAACCCTAAGTGCAAACAGTTTGTTGGTGGAATGTTGCATATGTTTTATTGTTGTTTGTTTCGCGTTTCGTCGGTGTTGGTCTACTACGGTGTTTGCATGATGCACGTGTAGTGCGATTGGACTGCAAAAGCGTTGCCCTTGTATTACATGTGCACGGTGCCGATGTTGTAGTGGGCCAGTCGTACAATTGTATGGCATGCGCACGGTATCTGCAGTGCTGATCTGTTGCGTGTGTTTTCCTTGTGGATTATGTGTGCTCACCATGTGCGTCGAAAGTGTATTTTAATTGGTCTCCGTTGAATCGCATGTTAAGGGCATGCATATTGCACAGGTGTCGGATTGCACCGCATTTGCATGGCAGGTGTATTATGTATTGTACCACGTGTGTACTGGACATGCGTTGCATTTGTAAGGCATGTTTATTGCATGTGTAGTGCAGCTGCAACACATCTGCAGTGCGTGTGGTGTGTACTTGTGTTGTTTGAAGTAGCTTATACGTTTAGTGTGTTGGCATTGTGTTCCCTTTGTGTCAGTGTTGCATTGGCGTTGCCTGCGCAGTGCATGTCTGTGGCACCTACGTGAGGATGTGGCACTTTTCATGCTGTTTGAAGACATCGTCATGTTTGCTCTGCTTATGTTGTTTGAATATTGGAAGGCGTACTAACAATGTCTACGGGTCCTGTACCAATACTTATGGAAATGCGATGGGAAATCTAGGCGTCACCCTGCTTCGAACAAAGGACAACCATTTGACAAACATATGGTTTTTCAACAAATTAGGGTGGTCAGATAAGTACATTAATTAGAAATCCCGCAGAAGGAAAGCATCCATGTATATACATAGATAATGACCTGGAGTAGCATGGCAGAGCACTCAAGGAACATATACATAATGAGTGCGACGCTTGAGGAACTATGAACACAACCCGTTGAGGAGTAAAGGTGGACCTTGGAAAGCAGCACAGACGTACAACATACACCTTGCAATACGTGGCGGGACACGAGTTCTCTCCTCAAGAAAAAGACATACCCCATAATAATATGTGCGAAATTCCAGCAGATTGACAAGGAAGCCAGGAAACAACGCAACACACCCAGAGGAACTATGACGGAGTAGAATGGCAACAAGAGGCGAGCAGCAGTGCTACGAGAAACCATTATACATATTTATATATATATACAGATATATAAAAAACTATTGGGAACTATACGGGCGTCAGACGACAGTGCAAACACCCATGTGGAACGTACACGGTTACACGGATTTCAACACGCACACACGTACCAGGATTGCACATGAGGTCTATCAAAGCAAATACACGTTATAACGATCTTTAGGTCGATACAACACTGACATTGAGAAGCTATCGGAACATCCAGCAATCCGTTGAATACAAACATGAACCATCATAGCACCACGAACGCACACACATATCTGTACATATATATATATATATACAGATCTATGCCTGGAGGGACATGCAATAACGATATATTAGCATCACATGCATTTATTGTGCATGCGGCAGTTTTATGCAGGCAGCGAAAAGACGCGTACGCAGGAGTCTATGAAGACACAGTGAGATCTATTCAAATCACTGCGGGGGCAAATAGAATGCGAAGGGATGTTTGCGACAAAGCAGCGGCACGCAAGTCATCCCAGGGAGTCTCTTGGGTCCAAATGCGCGCTTGTAGCAGCTAGCAGGCGCTTGCTGACGCAAGCGGAACGCAGCGCGCGCTGGTGGGCCACTGCGTTCATTGGCTTCCCTTGCCGGAACTGTCGAGTGCCAGCCAGCGGGCGCTACGTCAGTTAAGCGCTATAGGGCACTTGCGTGGTCGCCCACTTTCGCTGCTGTCTACGACGCCTTATTGTGGAGGTAGCGCTTCCAGGGTACGAAAGTGATACAGTTTTTCTCCGACAAGGGTGGGGGGGGGGGGGACGTCGGGGTGGGGGTGGGGGGTCAGCGTTGGTACGGTGGGATGATGGTGCTCTGAACTACTTCCCATTGTTAGTGATGCGGTGGGACATGTCTCCTGTCGTAGCCCCTACGTAGACTAGCCAGTCAATGTCGCTTCATGCCAGCCGCCATTTGCTCCCGCTTGGTGTGTCATACACGTTGAGGACACCATGAAGATCGAGGCTGGCTTCGACCCGAAGACAAACAAGCCACTGCAAGGCGGCACGTGATGTCTGTGCTGGCTGCAGCCGAACATGATTTCTGACAGCGGTTCAGGGTCCTCCTGTAGCTTCCTGTTGGTGCCGACTGCCCCCTCCCTCCTCAAGTGCCCCCCCTCACTTTGTGTCTCGTCCTGCTCCCCCTTCCCCGATTCTGCCTGCCACACGCGTTTTCGCACGTAGGGGACGGCGCCCCCCGACCTCCTCATTCCTCGCACCTCCCTCCTCCTTCTCCTCCTCCTCCTCCTCCTCCTCCTCATCCTCCCTTTGACATCTCCCTCTCCCTTCTCCTCCTCCCTCTCCGCATGCTCCATACTCATTCTTCTTTTATTTCCACCACATGTTAAGTGGGGTTGTGTGAGGCGGAATCCGGGTTTTGTGAGAGAGCGGCCAAATTTCTGGCCCGAAATCGGGGTACAAAAATCAAGGCTCCGAAAAATCAAGGCGCCGACAAAGCAGCAGTGGCCCCGGACTCGGGCAAGACAGAATTACACAGGTATGACTCCAGAAGCGTCGGGGGTACGAGGGCCTCTTTGCCGCAGTCTGAATGAGATGCTGGAGCTTCGGGTGGCCGAGCGCGGCCGCCCGAACATAGCCGCGAAGTGCATCGGGCGCGTCGGCGCACAATTGACCGTGCCGCCACGCACTGTGCGTCCGAAACAGAGCATACACCCCAACGGCACGGAGGGCAACTGCAGCCGCCGTGGCCCCCTCACCTCTGCACTGCTCAGGAAGGGAAAACACGTTCGTGGCGATGCCTAGAAAATCAGCCAGGCGAAATTCAGACGGTGGCCGGCCCAGCCCCAGGAAGTGGTGGCACAGAGAATGAAACGTATTGCAAAACGCGTAGTGCTCGAGGGAGTCCCCTTCTCTTTGGCAACCAAACAGGCAGCGTTCAGATCCCTGGAAGCGCCCCGCTGTGCACCAGCCATTCCACGCTGAGCGTAGGTAGGAAGCCTGCACCCGAGGAGGGAGGAGAGGGGCGGAAAGAGCGAGAAAAGATATGCTACAAGATGGGTATACTATCTGTTCGGGTCGGACGCGCGCCTCCAAGGCGGACATCCAGCATTAGTATGTCTCTGTGCGTCCCATACTTCCCCCCCTCCCCGCTTCCTCCGGCGCCCCCAGAGAGGTGACGCCCCGCGCCGACCAGGGACCCCCAAGAAGAACCAGGCAGCCAGGCCCCCAGCGGCGGGCGGGGGGGGGGGAAGAGGCGGCGGGGAGGAGGGGGGGCAGAGGGGAGAAAGAGAGAGAGAGAGAGAGAGGGAAGCAGGGAGGAGAGGGGAGGACGAGCGAGTGCCTCCGCCGTGGCCCGTCGGCCCCCGACGCCGCTGCCCCCGCCATGCCGCGCCGCCCCCCTCTTTGGCATCCGCCGACGTATTTGTCCCCCGATCTTTTCCCGGGGGAGCCAGGGCCAGCTCGTCGCCTCGGAGCCATGTCTGGTGGCCCCAGGGCCCGATAGAGAGCCCCAGGGGCCGGAATCTGACAAGAACGTGCAACAAAAATGCAAACAATACCAAGGAGGGGGGGCCTCTGGAAGTCCTCTGGACGTCCCTGGAGGGCCAGAGCCATCTCGACCTCTGGCCTTGGGCCAATTGATTACACCCAAGCCCACACACCTGACCATGTGTTTTTGTATGTTTTTGTCAATCCGCGTTCCAGAGGTCTCGACCACTTCCCTTACGGGCAGTCTTTTGTCCCAGGGGATTCAACAAATCAGATCGTCGCCGCGCCGTTTGTTCTGAACGCGCCCGAATGGACGAAACCGACACCACGGCAAAACCTGCGGCGGAGTTTGCCCTGGTGGCCGAGGCGCCCTCCCCAAGACAGCAGGCCACGTGTCGGAACCAACGGCGCGGCGACATCGTCGGAGGTCACCCGGGCAAACGCCGCCTCGGACGCCGTGGGCTCGCCGCGGGGTCTGCCGCAGTGCTGGCCTCGTCTTCCTGGGGCACGTGGGCGCAGGGCTCGCCGTGGGTCTGCCGCGGTGTCGGCGTCATCCCCATGGGCGCGTCGTATCGTAAAATAAAAAAAAAAGATAAAGAAACTAATGAACATAATAATGACAACAAGTTTAAAACAGTAAAATTGATAACAAACATTTGGGCGCGTCGTGTCGTCGGAGCTCTGGGCCCACCGCCTGCTCACCCTGGGCCCGGCCCGGCGCCAGCGTGCCGCCGCGCGGCCGCGGCGCCCTTGCCCGCTGGGCCCCGCCCCGCCGCGGCGGCACCGGGAGGCCAGCGGGGAGCGGCCAGAGAGGCCTCCAGGAGGGCCCCCCAAACAGCCTCAAGAGAGAGCGTCAAGCAGCACAGGAGAGCTCCAAGACGGCCCAAGAGAGGCCCCCGGGGCCCCGAGGGGTCACTGGAGGATCCCTATATATGGTCGGAGAGGGCCCCAAGAGGGCCTCAAGACGGGCTCAGCTCCTCATGACGGGCCAAAAGGGGACCCGGGACGGTCGAAATAGGCCCCCAAACGGGCCAAAAGAGACCCAAAAGGATTCCTTCAATACGGTCCAAGAGGCCGCCGAGGAGGGCTCCCAATGGCAGACAAAAAAACAATTTCTTTTGGAAATAAACAGTTTTTTGTTTTATTAATACTATTATTATTATTATTATTATTATTATTATTATTATTATTATTATTATTATTATTAGTATCATTATTATTACTATCATTAGTATTCTTATTATTATTGTTATCATTATTATTATTATTGTTATTATCATTATTATTATTATTATTTTTATTATTCGTATTATTAGTTTTTCAGGGATGTTCCTTATTTCTCTCCTAACAGCGGCCGCGGCGGCCCCAAAGGCTCCCCAAATCAGCCCCCCACCGCCCAAGAGGCCCCCAGGAGGGCCCCAAGACGGCCTCAAGAGAGTTCCAAGCAGTACAGGAGAGCTCCAAGACGGCTCAAGAGTCCCCAGGGGGCCCCAGGGGCCACCAGAGGATCCCTACATGGTCGGAGAAGGCCCCAAGAGGGCCCCAAGACGGGCTCAGCTCCTCATGACGGGCCAAGAGGGACCCACGCAGTATACATTCGAAGCGAGAGATGGGTTCGCCCGTCATTCCGTTGCAAACATCAACGGTGGAGATTCCGATGACATGCTTGACTTATAACTCTTTTACTCAGTAGTGGCAGGAGACCACGGGGGCCAGCCGTGTACAGTGTACAGGCATGATGGTTTGGTCTTCGCGCGTCCACCACGGACACCTGCGTCGTTGGGGGGGATAGCAGACGGCGCAAGAGGCACCCCGAACCGCCCAGGGCGGCCGAATAGAGAGCGCCGACAGGGGCCCCGCGGGGGGACTTCGAACGCACACTTTCGAGGCCTCCGCCCTCGGAGGACCCCGACGATCGCCAGCAGGCCCACAGGATGCCCCAAGGCGGCTCCAAGAGGACCCTCAAGAGAAGCCGAAGAGGCAAACTCGCCCCGCTCCTGTTGGAAAGCGTGCGTTTCTATTGCAATCGTTTTTTTTCATGTGCCCAGCGTCCAAGACGGGCCCAGAGGCCCCTCGGAGAGCCCCCCAACGGCCGAAGAGGTCCCCCAGAGGGCCCCAAGAGGGCCCAAGAGGGCCCCAAGACGGCCCAAGAGGCACCCAGGACCGCCCAAGAAGGCCCCAAGAGGGGCTCGTGGGGGGGAGGACACTCCTGGCATCCCCGCCTCCTCCTCCTCCTCCTCCTCCTCCTCCTCCTCCTACTCCTACATTCCTTCTCCTTATAGATAACTTCTCCCTGTCGCACTCCGAGGCCAGTCTTTAGGGCGGCCAGGGCGTTTCGCCTGAGACTTCTTCACCATTTATGATCCTGAAGCTAAAACATGGACAACATTTGCACAGACGAAGGGCGGGTCGTCTTCAAAACGTGGCTCTCGCCTGCGCGCCGCGCACGTTCGCTTCGAACAACTGCGAGAGCTTCACGGAATGAGGGCGACACGTTTTCAAAACGTGGCTCCCGTTGTAGCGCCACGCACATTCCTCTTTATCATGCGCAAGAGATTCACGGTTTGAGGGCGACCTGTTTTCAACATGTGGCTCCCGCTTTAGCGCCGCACACATTCGTTTTAACAATTTGCAGGAGTTTTCCCAGATTGAGGGCGGTTCATTTTCAAAATGTGGCTTTCGCTTTAGTGCCGCGCACATTCGTTTTAAACACTTGCACGAGTTTCACGGGTTGAGGGCGGTTCACTGTCAAAATGTGGCTCTCGCTTTAGTGCCGCGCACATTCGTTTTTAATAGTTGCGCGAGTTTCACGGATTCCCATGGTCAGTGTACCAGAAATTGTGTTTTGGAAGGTTCTAGGATTATGAGGGCGCAACGGTTACGTTGATTCCCGTGGTTGAAGTTCCAGGAGTGGCGTTCTGGCGCGATTCAGGATCGTCAAGACACAACAGTCAGGTTGATCTGTGGCGATGGAATCCCGAGAAAGATGTTTTGGCATGCTTCAGGGTCTTCAAGCGGTTGTCTTCCAACGAGGCAGTTCCCTCAGTAGTGGCCTATGAAGAGGCCTATGAAGAGGGAGCTTGGAGGTAGGGTTTGTTCCAATATCGTTGTTGACTCTTGGGTTTGCACTGGTCCTCGTCCTCGTCCTCCCTCTCTTCCGCCTCATGACGATTACCTCGACTCCTCTTCCTTCTCCTCCTCCTCCTCCTCTTCCTCCTCCTCCTATTCTTCCTCAGCCCCCCAAGACGATTACCTCGACTCCTCTTCCTTCTCCTCCTCCTCCTCCTCCTCCTCCTCCTCACGACGATTACCTCGACTCCTCTTCCTTCTCCGACGACGACGGGCTCGACTTGACGGCGTTGACGACCTCGACGGCGACGACGACGGCGACGACAGCGGCGGTGTCGGTGGCGGTGGTGTCGTCTTCGGCGGCGGCGATGAGGACGACCCGCATACCTGTCCTGGGGCGCGGTTTGGAAGAGGCGTTCAGGGAAGATCCAGCCCTGGCCATGATGACGCCCAAGAGGCCCAACCATCTTTAAAGAACGCGTAGCTCGACGCCTTCCTTGCCAACGGCGACGCGTCAGCAGATTACGTCCCAACGGCTCGCGCTCGGCGCGCTTCGGTGGACGCGGGCACCTCACCTCGACCCAGTCTCGACCAACCAGGTTTCGCTACCTCGAACCTCGAACCTCGAAGCCCGATCCTCGAACATCGATGCCGGGTCCCCGATTCTCGAACCTTCACCCTGAAGAAGACGCCGGCAGCGACCGAGTCCTCCTCGTCCTCCTCCTCCGACGGCAACCCGACGGCGACGACGACGACGCCGCAGTCAACGCGTCGTGAGCGAGCTGATGGCCGTCTCCGACCTCCTCGAGGCGGGGCGGCGTCCCGCAGCCGCGCCTCCTGGAAGTCCCGTCGTCGTCATCGTCACCGTTGTCAACGGCCGTCGTCGGCGTCGTCGTCGGCGTCGGCCTCTTCTTCGGCGTCGTGTTCGCCGGCTTCGGGGCAGGGGGAGGGGGGAGGAGGAGGTTTGGCAACCGAAGATCGAGGTAATCAAGTTTTGTTTTTGTTCCCACCCATCCCGTGGCGTCGGGTCTCCTTTCCTCGGTCGTCCTTTTCCTTATAGATCAGTCCCTTCCGAACCCGCAGACGTGTCGGTAGGGCGGGACGGGCGGTTTGCCTTAGACTTCCTCACCGTCTTTGATGCTGAAGTCTGGAATCTGTTACAGCTTCAAGGATGGAGAGCGGGCTCTCGCCTGAGCGCCGCGCATATTTGTTTTAAGAGTAAGAAGAAGTTTTGGGGATGGATGGGGGTGTTTTCAAAATGGGGCCGTCGCCTCAGCGCTGCTCGAATTCGTCTCAAACGATTGCAGCAATTGCAAGCATGGAGGGCGGTTTCTGTTTGAAACAACGTTCTCGCCACATCGCCGCGCACGGAAGGGGGGGGCGGGTCTTAAACAATTAGACTCTCACCTTAGTGCCGCGCACATTCGCCCCAATGCCTTGTAACATGTGAAGGGGAAGGATTGTGGGCGGATCCTTTTCGCAAGGGGGTCTTCGCTTGGGATTTCTGGAATGTTAGCCAGCATGGACCCCAAGCACTGTGTTCTTAGCACATTACCTGGTGCAATCTGTGCGGATAAATAAATGTATTACAATCTATGTGGTACAATCTATGCGTTGCAATCTGTGTGGCGCGACGTATGTGTTGGGAGCTATGTTGTGCCATCTATGTTGTGCTAGATGTGTCGTGCGATCTATGCTTAAGTATATATATATACTTAAGCATACACAGATATGTTGCAAGTTATGTTGGTTTGTGTGGAACAATATAGGTGATGCAATCTATGTGGTACTGTGTTTCAGTTCGCAGTGAGTTGTCCACTCCACTGCTCGCGCAATCATTTTTCCCACCCGCCCGCGTTTTGGTTTGCAAAACCCATGGGGCGGCAATTGTGATGCTGGCGCATCGCTTCGGCCGCGCTAGCGCGCAGGCTCGCGCGCAGAACGGCCAGCTAATCTGGCGCGACCGACGCGGCCGCGGTGGCACTGGCTGTTGGGGACTTTCCAGCGCGTCTCGCGGGCCGCGCTGGCGCGCTGGCACTTCAGTGCGAGTCGGTGCTTCGGGCAGGCGCGGTACCATTGCGACGTCGACAACGGCAAACATGATGATTGCAGTGATGCGACGATGGCGATGACGACGGCACGGCAAATGACGGCGCCAATGCTGATCACGCCGGTGGCGATGATGGTGTCCACCCGTCGGTGATGAAGTTTTTTTTTGTTTCGACGTGCGCGCGCGGCCTACTGGCGCGAGTGGCCCGAATCGTATACTTTGACAGGGATCGTGCCCCCCACCACACGCGCACGGGCGTTCAAATGATTTCGGCATGCGCGCGCGAGAGGCCCGTTTGGTCGCGTGTGATGACAATATGGGAGCTTGATGCCTCGCCCAAGATTTCGCAAAAAGGCATGCGTTTTTATCTGAAAGCGTATTTTGCAAAACCGTATGTCTTCACATGTTTTCGGCAACCTCGATCTTGAAAATCTTTCCGGAACTCACAAGGTTTTTGAATGACTGTGGTATGCGCGCGCGACGACGCGCGCGTGTGCACATCGCCATTGCTTTCACCAGGGGTTCGTGAAAATGGTTGGTTTTTGATCAACGAGTGTGCGCGCACCGTTTTTTTGGCAGGGATGGTGGGGTAGGGGTGGATTCTTGTTTGGTCGGGATGGAATGAAGTCATATTTGAACAATGGGACACACTCGTATGTAAATCGCACATCTCCAGGCGGGGCGATAATCCAGGCTTCGGGGCGGCGGTGGATTCGAATTCTTTTTTAGACCAGAGAATTGAAATCACCCTGCCGTATTTGAAATTGTGAATTCCACTGCTCGCGCAAACATACCACCCACCCACCCGCAACTTGGTTTGGAAGACCCCGGCGGCGGCGATGCGATGCCTGCCTGGCGCTGGCTGGCGCATCGCTCGCCGCGCTAGCGCGCAGGATCGTGCGCAGAACGGCCAGCTAATCTGGCGCGACCGACGCGGCCGCGGTGGCACGGCTGTTGGGGACTTTCCAGCACGTCTCGCGGGCCGCGCTGACGCGCGAGCATTTCAGCGCGAGTCGGTGCCTCGGGCAGGCGCGGTATCATGGCGACGTCGGCGCCGGCAAACGTTTCTGATAGTAGAGATGCTGGTCACGATGGCGACACTGGCGACGGCAAAGCCAATGACGGCGCCGATGTTGATGGCGCTGTTGACGATGATCTTGTCCACGTGTCGGCGACGAAGGTTTTGGAACGATTTCGACATGCGCGCGGCCGACGGGCGCGAATGGCCCGCGTGGTAGTTGTTTTGGCAGGGATTGTGCTCCCCCAGCGCGCGCGTGAGGGCGTTCGAACGATTTCGACTTGCGCGACCGCTGCCATTCTGGTCGACGTCAGCGCCGCCCTATTTGCACTTGCGGTAGGCGCTGCCTGCCCGACCATTTGCGGCGGTGGGATCCCAATACACAATGGCGCTCTCGTTTTCTACTTCTTGGGCCTCTCTTGGGGCGTCTTTATTCAGGCCACCTAGGGCGTCTCGGACCGATCGTTCGGAGATTTGGGGCCCTCTTGGACCGACTTGGAAACCTCCTGGGGCCCTCTTTGCCTGTTTTTGGGCCCTCCTGGGCCCGACGCGACGGTCCCGGGGGGCCCGCGGGAGTGCGCGACGGGCATGGGGGACACGGGGGAAGCCCAGTTGATTTGTGAGCCGGGGTCCTGGCCGGGCCCTTTAAATAATCCGCATGACTGGGGACTGAGGCTCAGGGGTTGGGCAGGGGACCTCGTGCACTTCGTGCCACATGCAACGTGATCTCACATGACATGGTTTTCGTGCTTCGCCTGGTGTGGTCCGCTCGCATGTTCTCCCTCTGCAGTTTGCTGCTTGCCTTGAAACGCCGCTTCCCCAGAGTGTCTACCATTTTCCGAAGATGGGGCTCCTTTCAGCGGGTGGAGTTCGACGATCGCTTCAATATGTCGGCGGTAACGTCCCGGTAGGCATTCTATCCGTGCTTCGATTGGGGGTAGTGCTGTCCCGATTCGATCGGTTCGTGGTTGCGTGCCGATGCTTGCGCGCGGCACCGACCATGGGCGACTTCCCCCCCCGCGGACGGGTTCCGTTCGGTCGATCCGTTTGCGCACGCAAGCGACTCGAACCATCATCAATGAATTTGCAGCTTCTGGACCACCGTTGGTCGGGGGTTTGGCCTCTCCAGTTTGCCGTCGTCATGGTGCCGTTGCTTGCCCTCTTCTCCTTCTCTTCCTCCGTTTGCGTTGAGTTGACTGGTCGGACGATGATCGCAGCGATCCTCCTCCTCCTCCTCCTCCTCCTTCTTCTCATCCCTGTCTCGCTGTGGTAATCCGCCGCGGACGAACTCTCATGGGCCCGATCCCGATCCGATCCCGATCCGATCCCTCGATGCCGAAAGGCATGTGGGCTAAGTTGCAGAGTCAGGATGGCTATTACAAGAGGACCGAAGGGGGAACCAGAGCGGCGAAGGAGGCTACAGCTGCTTCAAATGGGAACCACGCTTTTCTTCTCTTCTCCTCTTGGCCCTCCATCTCCTCCTTCTCTTTCTCCTCCTCATTCTCCTCCTCCTTCTCCTCCTTGACGCTGCCTCATGGGCTGCCCTGGGGTGAACTGTTGAATCGTCGTGAACCAATTTCATCTGCGTTGCTTCGAATATCCGCCACCACGCTGCAGGAACTTTGGTGTGGGTGCGTTCTCACGTGGGCACCGAGCGACACGCCGGGCAGAAAGTGGACGCATGTTGGGCTCGAGGCGCTGGGGCGGCCCAGTTGCGGCTTCGCAGTGGGCGGAGCTCACGGTCAGAAGCAACCCAGACCTCCGACGCTTTGCTTTTTCCACGACGGGCCCCCCCCAGAGTTCTCGACCCCACCACTGGGAAGATTTCTCCGCCGCGGGCCGTCTTGTTGATGGCTCCAGGCCCCGAGGACGGTTCCCGGATGGGGGGTGCTGAAGGTGTCCCCGGCCCAAGGTCGCCTTGGGCCGGGGACACCTTCAGCACCCCTTGGATTAGCGTTGGAGTTTAGCGTCGTGTCGGATGACGAGTGGTGGTCTCGGGTTTATGTCGAAGTCGGACCAGGTCGATCAAGGAATCGGATCCCCGCTTCTGCGGACGCTTTTCAGGTGACAAGGTGCCCCATCCCTGGGCCTCGTGAGGGTTGCTCTGGAGGCCGTGGGGGCCTCCTGGGAAATCCTGGGGAGACCTTGGGCCAGGGCCACTTCTGCGCGGCTGTGAGCAGCCCGATCACCTCCAGGAGTTCCCGCGGTCCAGAACCACGCGCACCAAAACGGCGCCCCACTAGCACAGACGACGTCGCAGGCGTGGGCCCATTCCCGGCAGCACCCCGCCCAGAGGCCCGACTCGTGCGAAAGCGCACGCCGTCATCCTGCTCGCGACGTCCTGGAGGTCTCGGGATGCATCAGCTGCTGCACGGCGTCTGCGGGAGCTCGGTCGGGGCCGTCGTGCGAGCGCCAGCGCCCGTGGAGCGGCGGGGCGGCCCGCGCGCGCGAGCGAGGAGGCTATCCAGCAGGTGAGGGAGGGCCACGAGCGGCTGCAGCGGGAGCGCACGGAGACCCCCGCCGAGCGCTTCCCGTTTGCCTCCCTCGCCTCCCTCCCCTCCCTCCCCCCCTCCCTCTTCAGCGTAGTGCGCACCCCCGGCAACGATGCCCTCTGGCATCTTTTCGCGGACCTCCAGGTTCCGAGTTCCGAATTCCCCCCCTCCCTCCCTCCCTCCCTCTCTCCTCCTCCTCAGCCGTTCTAGACCTACTTCCCGAGTTTGCTGACGCAGATCTTCAGAGCGGCGCTCGTCAGTGGTCCGCAGACCAGTTGCAACGATTACACGTAAGGCGGGATCGGGGGCCCGTCGCTGCACGCTCGCTTCCTCCCCCTACTAACTGCTGTTGCTCTTCTGGGTTGTCTCTTGTCCTTGTCTGGACCCAACCGAGCGGCGGCAATTATGGCGAATAATCAGGAGCGGCGTGATTGGTAACGCCAGAGATTGCAAGCATCTCAGGTCGGGCAAGCAGCTCATCAACTGGGACAGTAATGTCAAGTGCGACAAGTGCCGCGTGCACAATAATAATGTGTTCAAAGGAAATGTTGTGCCAGCCTCTCCGCCTGAGAGGCATGTCAAGGCCAGCAAGCATGAAGGCGAGCTCGACGGGTGTCCTGGGTGCGCGGGTGGAGCTGCACACTGCGCGAAGCTCATCGAGGGTTGTCGTGATGAATTGGTACAGTATCGGAGAGCTTCGGGCACTGCTGGTGTTGGGCGTGATCTGGCAGCATCAGCAATGGACGTGAATGCTGGTGATGGTGCTGATGAATAAACTAGTGTCAACGAAGAAGAAGAGGCAGACAAACTTCAAATTGATGGAGGCAGCGCTGTTGACCATCAAATCGCTCATGGGTGCTTGGGCTGACAGTCGAAGGTTCCAGCAATGCGAGCGCGTGCTGAATTTCATGCCAATGGCCCTTGCATGCCCAGGCGCATAACTTGGCCAACCAAGTTCGGCAGCAGCGTATCAAAGCGGATAAGCTCCAGGGCAGGTTGTCGGTTGCTGAGGATGAACTCGAGTTGACTCAAGAATTTTGTGGCGAAGTTCGTGTTTTGCATCAGGAGGCTAGCAACAGGGCGTTGGATATGGAGGCTCAGCTCGGTCAGTTGGAGCAGAAGTTGCCGCGGGAACCGAAGCCAAACACTTAATGGGGACGTGGTGAACATCGAGCACCTGGGTCCCTCAATGAGAAAACAGGGTGGGTTGGTATCGAAGGTTGCAGAAGGAGGAGGTCTGTCAAGTGAGGCTCAGAACAGGTTGCCGTTGGACATCAGTGGTGCTATTCAGGAGCTGTGCGTGTCTCAGAAAAAAGCGCGTCTGATGCGGCGACAACCCCTGTGCCTTGTAATGGCGGTGCTCGTTCATCTGTTGACGGCTTGTTGCCAAAGCTGCAGCGGAACAGGTTAGTGTATGGAAGCTGGCAGAGGAGGGCATCGCACAGGTTCGAGAGGCCTTGAGTTCGATTGGGCCAGTGGCATGCGCTGGTGAAGAGGTGCCCCAGCGTGCGAAAATGCTGTTGGGAGGAGATGTTCATCTCAAGCGCGCGGGGTTCGATCCTAGTTTGCTTGGGAATGTTTGCTTTGCTTGGTTGTGGTACCTTTGATGAAGCTGTTTCGCAGTGGTCGAGTCCTGAGGTTGCACTGCTACAGTGAGCGTCACGTCGCATGGGTCCGTCGTGCCGTTCTAGGAGACGTTCAACTCGGAGACGGCAGTCGTGGAATTGCAGGAGCATCGTAGGCGTGGCAGAGAGCTCGGGTCCCCGCAGCGGCAGATTCGAGACTATGGATCGGGTGGCGCGTGGTCGGATGCGGCGCGTTCACCGTCTCACATTGGCACGGCGGGAGGTGTGGCTATGCTAGCCAGGACATCGATTCCAGTTACGTCTCCCCCGTTCTTGGAATCACCGAGGTTGGTGCCAGGCAGACTGTGGGCAGGGCGTGTTCATTGGGGAGGGCAAAGAGGGCCAGTCGAGAGCATGATTCCTGGGACTTCAACGCCGCGGATCGCCGTTATTGTTGCGTCCGGACGATCCAGAATCGTGCAGGAACACCATTCGGGGGATTTCAATACCGCGAATCAGCGTGAATATTGCGCCCTGACATTCCGACGCCGTGCCAAAACACCATGTGTGGGACGTTCGCCGTGAGAATCTTTGTGACGGCTTCGAATTCTTAAGACGAGTGTGCGCGGCGCTAAGGCGAGAACCACACTGTGAAGAGGAGCCGCCGTCTTTCCGTTAAATTCTTACATTTTTTAAAAGTGAGCGCCTGCACCAAGGCAATAACCATATTTTGAAACCGGCCCGCCCTCCATCCGCGAAGCTCGTGCAAGCGTCAAGCTTTAGGACCGTAAATGGTGAGGTAGTCTCAGGCGGAACGACAGGGGGGAGCGAGGGCTTCTGGTTGTCCCACCCCTCAGAGCTTGCTCAAGGTGGCCCTGGTTCAAGGTGTCCCCCCAGCGTTTCGCGGACACGTCCGCCAACGCCCGAACACCCGCCTGTCTGCATCGATCGCCCCCTCCTGGTCGGCCCGATCCTTTCGCGCGGCGGCCTGGTCGCCCGCCCGCGGGCCCCTCGCTCTTTGGACCTGTCGATGGACCTGGGCCGGGGCCTTTTGCAAGGCCGTCGCTCTCTTGGCTGATCTCTCCTGTTTTCCCAGCCCAGCCCCGCTGCGCGGGCCTTCCTGCATCCCGACGGAGCCAAAGGTCCTCTCGGTGTACCTGGGCCTCTCTATCTGGGTCCCCCAAGTGAGGTCCGAGGAGATGGTGTCGAAGGACCGCTCCGCATCGACGATGCATCGACGACGCGGCTCGATGTGGAGCCAGATCTTCTCCACGCCGATTGCGCCGATGCATCGCCGATGAATCGGTGATGCGGCGCGGTCTTCCGACCCCATCTGCGGGCGGGAACGTTTGGACAGCGCTTCGCGCCGCCAGCTCCGGCCCACCGCGCTTCGACGCGACACGATGTCTACGTCCTCGTCCCCCAGCGTCCACGCCCCGAGCCTTCCCGAGCCTCCCGCCCCTCGGAGCGGAGCGACACGCTAGCCGCTCGCAGCGCACAGCGTGCCGCCGGGGCCGCCGCTGCGACACGCTACGCGGAAGTCTCCAAGGAGGGCACCCACGTCGTCGTCGTCGTCGGCGGCGGCGTCGTCGTCGGCGCCGGCGTCGGCGTCGTCCCGAAGCCCGAGTCTCCCCTCCTCCGCCGGGAGGCGGGCAGGACGAGACAGGCGCGGTGTGCGCGGAGGCGCGCGCCCTGCGGCTTCCGCAGGCCTCCCCGGAAGTCGCCCTCCGCCCTCCGCCGAGCGCGCTCCGTGGCCTCCACGGGGCGGGAGGGCTCGAGCCACGCAGGGCTGGCGAGAGCGGTGCCGGGAGGTGCTCTCGGCGGCGAGCGAGGGGGGGGGGGAGCGAGAAGGAAGAGGCCTTCTCAGAAGGCGGCGGGGCTCCTCAGAAGCCCTCGCGCCTGCTCGCAGGCTTTCCGCGTCTTCGGGGAAGGCTCCAGGACACTTCTCAGAAGGCCCAGAGCACTTCCGAGCCTTGGGGGGGGGGGAATGCATCGACCCCCGATCGTCCATTCATCGCCGAGAGGGGCCCGATAGCGCCACCCCGCCCCGGAACGTGCGGACTCATGCTCGGGTGCCGATCGCCGATCGAGCGGCGCTGTCTTGCCGATTCCAGGTCGAGGTGTCCCCCCCCTATGCCGGTTCCCCCCCGTCGTCGCCCCTCGCCTCCGCCCCCCGTCGGTCTCTCCCTAGGTCTCCCAGGCGGGGCCGAGGGGCCCGAGGTGCCCTGAGGCCCTGGCGCCGCAGCTTCTTCGCGAGCCGCTGTTCCCGCCAGGCTTCGGGCCCCGGCAGATCGATCCGGCTCGAGGAGCGACGCAGAAAGATGAGGTCCAGGGCTCTGGTTGTGATGTTCCGCGAGATATTTCCAGGCCTCCCAGATGGGGTCGGAGAAGATGGTGTCGGAGGATCGCGCCGCATCGCCGATGCATCGCCGATGCGGCTCGATGTGGAGCCCGATTTTCTCCACGCCGATACATCGCCGAAGCATCGCCGATACATCGGCGATGCGTCGGCGATGCGTCGGCCATGCGGCGCGCTCCTCCCACCCCGTCTACTCCGACCGACCTCCACCTGGGAGGCCTCTACTCTCGCACTCTCCCACGCCAGCGCGCTCTCACACAGCCTCACCCTCCGGCAGCCCCGCGCCGGCCCGCCCCCGCAGGAGATTCGGGAGCAGAAGGAGGAGGCCACCCGCGCGATCGAGGAGGCCGAGGCCACCCGGCAGGTGCTGCTGCAGAAGCTGGGCAGGTGACGCGGCGCTGCAGCCCCGGCGCGGCTCGGCGCCGGGCTCCCGCCGGGCGGGCGCCAGCCGCCCGCCCGCACCGCTGCTGGCCAGGCCGATCATGGGCTCGGGATCGGTTCGCGTCGTCGTCGACGGCGACGCCGTCGTCGTCGGCGTCGGCGTCGGCGTGGGCGTGGGCGTGGGCGTCGGCGTCGAACTCGTCGTCGCCCAGCCCCCTGTGCTTCGCGAGCTTCGGCCTCTGGGGGCCCTCAAGGAACCTCGGGACCGTCAAAAAACGATTCAGGGCGAGAAACCG